ATAAGGATGGAGATCTCTTAGTCCCTAGACCAACACTAGAAGATGGAAGGTAACTCAAGAAGCATTTAGTGGGGAAAAAAAATGGGAAAACTACTGCTGAACAACTTCACTGCACTAACCCTGAGCTGAACTAGAACACCCTTCAGATGTACATCATAAAAGAATTTTACTGTGGGAAATTAGCATAGTTTAAATGTGTGCCCTAGATATTTTGCATTAATTTCCCTGTGCATTCTGCATGTCTGTAAGCCTGCAGCAAAGATGGAAACCACAATTCTCCGCATTTTTCCCAGTTGACCACTGCTGGGCAATGAAGCTGGGGTATGGTGGGGTATAAGTGGAAGGCTCTGAATTCTCAGGACAAATCGTTATGTTGAAAATCAGAACTGTCATCATTTCATAATAAAAATGCCTTGCTTTGCATTTTTATTTATTTATTTAATTGTTTCCCCACTCTACTGGAGGCACAAGCTGGAGGCACAAGCAGACACAAGCTGGTGTCTTACAGTGTTGGTGAGAACTTTGCTCATTAAAAGAATTGACCCTACCCCATCTTTCACATGTTACCATCCTGTCAGCTCCCACAGGAAGCTGCCCAACAAGACCATCAAACTCACTGCCTGCAGCTTCTCCCAAGATTTCAACACTTTTCTGTACATTCATCCTTGATCTACAGTGCTCAGTGTGGGAACACTCCTCCAGTCTTACCTTCCTTTCTTCTCCTTTCCTATTTAGAAAAGCCTGGTCAGCCACCACTTTCTCCATGAAATGAAGAAAACCTGCGAGTTTGACTAATTGCAAGAACACACTCAAATAAGCTAGGTGATATACTGCTGGGAACAAAACATTGGAATTTTTAGATTTTGAACATGAAGGCTTGGAAAAACTGGACTTGACTTGTGGAAGAAGCTGGTAGATAAAGGTCATTGATAATTGATGAAAAAAAGAGGTAGTTTGAATATTTCACAGTTCACAACTGAAGAGACAGTTGGTTTACTGGCACCATAGCTCAGATTCTAGCAGAGACCATCATCATTTAAGATGAGTCTGGAAGACAAAATACAGCTCAGTGTTTCCAAATAGTAGAAAGGAAAAACTATTATTGGTAAATGGCTCCACATGAATAATAATGGAGATTTTTGTTCTCTTCTGCCATAATGTACAGATGTTAATTAGCAATGAAATGTCTAGAAACCTTAATCAGGTTCAGGCACATGAGACATGCAGCAGTTTGCCTGGACTGCTCACGTGCCTTAGTGTTAACAGAAATTTTAACAGATGACTGAGACAAATAAAGGAGTATGGGGGAGAACAATGGATCCAGTAAATAATCTACAGAAATCAGTGTTAATTTATTCTACTGCCTCTTATCTTTATTAATGTTGTAGTGTTTATGGATGGCTTTCTTTAATACATCAACAAAGTCTCCGATTCCAATATTTCATTAAGGATCCCTTCTTCAGCTTCCATTTCATTTGTACATCTGTATTCCAGGAAAACTGATTCACTTTTCTTAAGCAGGTAACATGATTATTTCTGAGATCTGAAAAATACTAAGATAACATATATACATATGTATACGTATAAAGAGAGAGGGAGGGAGAAGTTGCATCGAGCTGTGAGCTGTTTTGCAAAGGGGCCAAGAGAAGGGAGTTTTCTGGCAATTACTCAGCACAAGGAGCAAGGTATATGTGAATAGATTAGATAAAATTAGTAGTTGTCAACCTAATACCACCTGATGACAGGAATTGTAGCTTTATCTCTCTCCTATCCACGCCTCCCGCATCATGTGCCTCATTAGGATACTATGGAAAGAACACAGAAGAAAAAGACCCTTCCCTTAGTTTAGCCACCAGAAAGTCAGGGGTAAAAATCCTGCCAGGCTTGGTCAAAGAGATTTAGTTTGGTTTCAGGGTATAATTATGTACTATCTTACATTATCACAGAATTTGAGTGTGAAAATCCGTGCCATAAGCAGGTACTATATCAGGGCCAACAGCATCCTGGCTTGTGTCAGGAATGGTGCAGCCAGCAGGAGCTAGGGAGGTGATCGTCCCTCTGTACTTGGCTCTGGTAAGGCCGCACCTCGAGTGCTGTGTTCAGTTTTAGGCCCCTCAGTACAAGGACATCGAGGCCCTAGAACATGTCCGGAGAAGGGCTATGAAGCTGGTGAAGGGCCTGGAGCACCAGTCCTGTGAGGAGAGGCTGAGGGAGCTGGGGGTGTTTAGTCTGGGGAAGAGGAGACTAGGGAGAGACCTTATTGCTCTCTACAACTGCCTGAAAGGAAGGTGGGGGGAACTGGGGTTGGCCTCTCGCAGATAATCAGTGATAGGATTAGAGGCAATGGCCTCAAGTTGTGGCCAGGGAAGGTTCAGGTTGGACATGAGGAGACATTTCTTCTCAGGAAGAGCAGTCAGGCATTGGGACGGGTTGCCCAGGGAGGTGGTGGAGTCACCATCCCTGGGGGTGTTCAAGGAAAGGTTGGACGTGGTGCTTTAGGGACGTGGTTTAGTGGGTGACATTGGTGGTGGGGTGATGGTTGGACCAGATGATCTCAGCCTCAGAGGTCTTTTCCAACCTTAATGATTCTAGTCTCCTTATTTCCAAACACATGGTGCTTGCATCCTCGAAGAATTATCAAGACCTTTAAATTAAAGAGAAGAGACAACTGCCTAAGGGAAGGGATTGGTCAGTCCACATATGGCTATGTTAAATGTATCTGTATCAAATCAGATGTCACAGAAGCACAGACGTTCAGAAAACACTAAAACCATCATTGCCATATGTTTGGAGGAAAAAGAGATTGCTTATTAATCTACATAATCCTGTGATAAGGTATCTAATATACTGATTTATGTCCACAATATTCAAAGCTAGCAGCACAAATTATACTGTCCCAGCAATTTTTGTGAGAAAACTGTTGGATAAAACTGCTTTTCCTAATTCCCTAGATTCCTCCAAGCAAGTTCTTGCACAGAGGTTTTAGTTCCAGTCACAAGAGCATAAGGAACAAATGAGAAAGGACCCTGAATGGCTGAACAATCAATTCAAAACAACCCCAAGGGCCAGCACATGATGACACCACATACGTCATTTCAATGTACATAATAAAAACAGCTTATGAAGCGCTGAGAAGAACAGTAAATATGAACAAAAATGTTTTCTATCATATGTCAATGAACAAATGTCTCCAGCAGATTTACTGAATAGTGCAAAACATTCCAGTAGAATTTTGTCGGTTTGCATTAGAAGGAAGAGTGTGAGTACATCAAAGCCCTACTTTGCCTGAGCAAGCAAATGATTCTTTTGGCCTTCATAAGACTATCCGACATAGAAATCAGGATGAACTGAGCTTTGACCCATATTTGTGAAGGTAATACTGAGCCAGATCACAGAACATGCTCTGTAGGAAAATCTAGATGCTGCTGATATGAGGGGTTCCCACCTGTACTTCGAGGGTACAGCTGTAGGCACTGAACACACATAATTCATGAGCTGCACTTCCACGGCCTCACAGGCCTTCCAGAGCTTGTGGCATTCTTTTCAAGTGGATCATTAAGGGTGGTGTACCTAAATGGATGGGTGGAGGAAATTTATCTGAACAGGAGATTAGAAGTGATTCAATTTTGGGAGATAACCTGATTTTTTGTCTTGGTAACTGACTATAGTTCAACTATGTGAGTTGACATTGGCATCTGGAGCTACTCAGCAGTTTCACGTACAAGTATGTCATGCAGATGAAAAAAAAATAGCATTATAAAGCTTCTCTTTGTGAACCAAAAAGTATAATTTTGACGATGATGATGGCTGATGTAATCAACTTTCTTGTGAGAAGGCTAGGATGAATAAGGGAGGCTAAAGTTATTTACAATGAACGTTTTGTAATCCCCTGGTCTCAAAGAGTTCACTACTAACAATCAGGTAGGATAGTGATAAAGATAAGAAGAATGAAATTCGTGCTGAGAGCATTTCAGGATGACCTAACCATCTTCTCTTGTATCTGTAAAACACACTGCAAAGTAGTGGCAAAAGATCTGTGAAGAGGAATAGCAATAATGGTCTTGAGAACAATCCTACCTTCCTTCCTTAGGAGAAGAAACCCTGAATGAGGCCAGTCCTTAAACTGTTGTAGTTCCAAAGCTTTAACTATGAAAGTGACTAAATTACCTGTAAGAAAGCAATATGCTCGTTCTCCACCCTATACAGAAATGCAAAACAGAGGATAAACAAAGTTTTGTAGTTCTTTAGGTGCCTCTGCTGCTGCCTGAACACGCAGAGTTGCTGGAATTGCTTGGAATCACACACCAGAGGCCATGGCACTTGCCATAATGGAGCTCTAAAACCAGCATTTCTTGTCCCTTCCTCATTCTCTGTTTTGCAGCTGCTTTTGTTATTTATTTTTAAACAGCCTTCTGACTATCCTCAAAAAAAAAAAAAAAAGTGCAAAAACTGGGGGAAACCAGAGAAGGATAGCTGAGCCATCAATTCTTCTGGACCCTTAGGTCCTAATTCATCCTATGATGCTGCCAGCCGCTTACATCATTCATAGCAAAAAAATTAGCAGTCCAAACTGGTGTATTCGGGACTTGCTGGAATATTGCTTATTCCCAGCTCATCCTAAAAGCTAAACAGAAAATACTTTCTGTGGCTGTGTAGTTATAAAACATTATTATAAAAATAATAGCTTTTAAGCGAGCCATTTAAAGATGCAAATCTTATGATTTGCTATGCTAAAAGTTTTAGCATAAAATCCCCTTGAATCCTGGAGGGTTTGCTCATTAAGAAGGTGCATGCTGTTCTAATATATATCCTATGTCAGCACAAACAGCCTTCATGTAAACACACGGCCGTGAGTACCATGAGTAACAACTCTGTTTCCATCAGAAGCCCTTTATCCTGCGTAAGAGGTCTGCATGCTAATAGATGTCCTAGGCTAACGTTAACTAGCTACAGCTGGCTCACGGCTATAAAAAGCATTAATGAAAACATAAATACTAACTTCTCCGCTTCCCTCAGCCCGGACGTCAAGGCTGCGCAAAGGCATCACTTTCCAAGCCGTCTGTGTGAATGAACTGGCTGCTCCGAACCAGCTCGCTCTGGTTCTCCAAAGTTTGTTTACTGAACAGCGTGTGCAGAGAGAGACACACACACTGAGCATGGGGGCTGCAGGGGGGGAGACGAACCAGCGGGGCCGCCTGGTTCACCCAGCGAGTCCGCCCTCCACCCAGAGCCACCGGCTTCTGGTGACGGCTCGAAAAAGGGAAGGAAATATCCATTAACCGGGGAACTGACCTACGGACATGCGAACGTCAGGCTGCGCTGGAGCTGAACACGGTCTGATTCTTCCTGTCTATCGCTTGGCTTTGCTGTAACGTTGCTAGGCGTTTCGTTCGAACAAACACTGCTTGCCGTGACATACGCAGGCGTTAGAGCCCCCTGCGCTCTCGAAACTTAACGCACGATTCGTGTCGTGCCAAATATAAAAGCGAATCGCAGAAATAGACTCAGATTTATCAAGTGTATACACTGAAAAGGAAAAGACATCTATTCCTGGTTAATGGGAAAGAGGATGCATGCAGCTCTGGGTTTACAAATTTAGACAGAAACATCAGGATAACAGAGCGCTACAATGCTCAGAAATTTGTATCCAGCCAGGCTGCACATACATTCTTGTTCTCGGACTGTTTATGTGCTATTTTAAAATGGTTAATTTTGTCCTGAAAACAACTGCTTTTTCAGCTCCTATGTACTTCAGTATGTGTATTTTCCTTTTTTTTTTTTTAAAGATTTATTTCGCGTTTCAAAATAGCGGGTATCTTAAAAATTCAGCTTCACAAGTCCCACCAATAAGTAAGAATCACAGCTTTATTTCTTTTTAATTTTTATAAATTAATTTACATACAAGGCTGAACAGGAAATTTTGTATTCCTCACCCTAAAGACATGCAAAATTACATTTAAAAAAGCAAATGCTATTTCCAAAATCATAATTCCTCGTTCTTGTGATTTTGTCCCATGCATAATTTCTTTATTTCCTCTGACTTGTATTACCCAAACAGCAAGTCTAACCACATGGGTCGCCTCCAAATCTAGCTTCCACAGATTTAACAACTTGACAGAGATCACACTCAAGTTAGAACAGATCTATTTATCCATGCAGGAGTTTCCTAAATCTAACATACAGATGTAACAAACACGCTATCTGACATGGTGTAAACTTTTGGAAGCGTTTAAAAATTTGGCTTTGACATCTCTCCCTCCTCAGTGTGTATATCCTGATTTCCAAGTCACTTCTTTCAAATCCACGACACTCTGTTAACCGTAGCAGAGTTCTTCCCCACTTCCACTGTTGAAGTGAAAACAGTCTGACAGCTGCCAAATTTCCCAACTTTAAATGGCTGTTTTCTCAGCATATTACTGTTACAATTCTCTCCCAACCCCTGGCAGTCCAAATGTGGATGCTGAGTCAGATACACAGGACCATCACAATATATATAGATGAGCTCCTACCACAGATATTCTTAATAATTACTAAGCAGCCCAGGCTGTAGCAAGACACTTTGGCAGGGTTCAGCTCCCTTGCAAAGGAAATACGAACTTAGAATTAAATAGAAAATATCGAAGAATAAAATATATACTTTTGCAAAGATTAGGTGCTGAATGTTTTTGTTACCAAGTTCTTTCACTACCTATTTGTGTTAATAAGATCAGTTTATAGCTGTATATTGAAGGTGTGACATAACTTGTTCCAATCAAATTAATTTCCTTGCACATTTTTCCTCATGTCAAGCGGAACTTACAAATTCTGGCATTTGTTCAGAGGCAGGGGAAAATACATAAACCCGTCATTGTAGGACAAAGACAAAAACATCTGTAACTGTTGTGACTAGATCGTATTTGAGTTCAACAAGGGGGAAACTTGCTGCCTCAGAGAGGTAATTCACAGCAGGAACTACGTAGGCTCAACGGAAATGAATGGGCAGAAAGAAAGGTAACTCACACAAATGATATCTCAATAAACTTATGACCACTCTCACATTTCCCATATGAGGGCCTCAACTCCGTGCATTATTTCCATCTCCAACTACCCACCTTTTACTCCTTGCCTGGGACTCTCATTTCACGACCCCAACTACTTTTCCCATCTCTCAGTGAAACCGCAAGTCCAACACCATCTCTTATCTCTAATCCATCCCACTAACACTGTGTCCTTTGCTGTTCCCCTGGTAGTTTACTCGAATGGAAGTGAGCGTCTCCTTGCTGGTGGAGTTCCTTTAGCAGGTACTGGATTGGGACCACAACTGCACAGCTGTGGAAGGGACTGTCCCCCAGCTGTCAGGCTGGCACTCAGAAGTAGTTGTCCTTGGTCTAAACTACTTGAGAAACCACTGAAAAATATCAAATCACTTCATACTTTCATAATAATTTCCTTAAAGCCATCTTTCTCGGTACAGGAGAAGACGAGACAAGATCATGCAGTGACAGCACAAGGTCCCAGTGCAAAATTGCAGCACAAATATATGGGAAATAGAAAAGCTGTAGGGATTCCACTGCATCTTGCACTGCAACTTTGCTCCTACCTGCTCTCTACACTTGTGCATACATGAAATTCAGAGGATAACTTCCTGAGCAGAGGACCAAGCATGGAAACGGGGAGAAACTGCCTGCTGCTTTCATTTCCACCTTTGCCTCCTTCTGTCCACAGCTGCAGCTGCAAGAAAGGCTACGGGGAGCAATTGATATCCTCACCCCACGTTCAGGTGGCTCTATGAAGTCAGCTTCAGACGCAGCCCCTGCATCTCTAGTCACACGGATCAGCAAACGCCTCTGAACTGGAGGAAGCAGCTGCACAAAGCCATTGACAGTAGGCTTCTGGTCACTGCCTGATGGGTCAGATTAGCACCTCCAGAAGGGCAGGAGCTGGAACTGCTGCTGTGAGAGCCTTCTCAGTGCCTGGCATACCACCAAAAGTAAATGTACTGGAGCTGGAAACCAAACCACTCATACAGAGCAACAGTTTTTAAAATATGTATACAAAATCCTGGTATCACATGATACTGAATGAAACACTGCAAGCATGACTAAGAATTACACTTTGCAACTTCATAATATCATTCTCAGCCCATTTACGTGTAAAACGTCTCTGAAATATATTTTGCATTGAGTTCCAGCCTTAACCACTTCTATAGCAACTTGTCCAGAGGATCTCACACTGCAGCCAAACAGGGGCCTCAAATCAAGTATCTGAATTCAATGAGTTACAAAACCTTCTCAGATATGTACCAGGCAGTTTGTATCAGGTGAATCTTTTTTTTTTTTTTTTCCAGTTACTATAGGATGACAATTACAAAAATAACAATCTCTTAAGCACCATTCCATTCAAGCCTTTACATCACAAATTCATCCCAGGCTCATAACTCTTCTCATTTGAGGAGTATGTTCTCCAGACTTTGCAAAGCTCTCTGTAGCAAAAGACAGAGATGATGTATTAACTGCAGCAAGCTGGAACATTTCAGTGCAGTTTGTACGGATCCCTACCCAGTGTGACACTGCCGACTTTTCTCTGGCTGAGGAATGGAACAAGAATAGCAGGCATTGCAGCCAGTCACAACCTGAAATAGACTGGCACGTGAGATAAAACTTAAGTGTTTCCAACATTTATAAACACATCCCAGTTTTAAACCACAAAGCTTACTGACAGAATTAAGATGGTCACCTCTGAAGAACTTTATTTTTTTGTATTTGATAAATTAAAAGTGCATAAAAGCTTATGATACAGATGTACAGGCCTGTGTCCCAGTAATATTCAGCCCTTTCAAAGTCTTTCTTTTCTGAATTGTGTGCCTATGATTTCAAAACCACACTGGAGAATGTATTCCTAGCTCTGTCATCCTTGGGACAAGATACCTCCTTCTTTCCAAAAGAGTACAATTACGTTCGTAAACACCTTTCCAAGGAACATCCATTTTTTTTATATCCAAATTGAAGCTTTTTCAAAGATGATGACAAAAAATTATTCCTAAGAGTCTTCCTTTTCCGAAATGTGCTGTTATGTTAAATCTATGCTGGTATTTCTTTGCACACTCACTGATCTATACAAGTACTTAAGTTTGTGCATAAAGAGTGCTTATGTGCCCAAGTTGCACAGAAATTACATGCAATATTTGGGTGGTTTAGATTTCTTTTTCAACTGTTAGCTCAACATGTGTCCATCTAGGTATTTTTAACATTTATCACTGCTCATGGCTCTTGCCTTCTGTACCATGGTAGCAGGAAAACAAATTCCAGAGACACAATCTGGCTTTTATAAAAGTTTTGGAGAGCTCCAGCATGACTTTAACACTTCCTCCCAGTCAGGACTGAAGTCATGTATTCAGTGAAAGGTAGGGGTGTAAAACACACGTGGATGATTTCTGCACTCAGTTCTGTCAACTGCATAACTCTCAGAGATACAAAAATTCAAGGGGAAGAAAGGTCAAAAACAAGGGAAAGATTCCATACCTTTTACGTAGGCCATCTTAGAATAATTCTTGACAAATAACAGGTGCTGGAAAATTACTATTCCTGGTTTAAACCAGACAATGTACAACAGCACATACCCTGATTGTGGCTGTGGGGCTGGAAAATTACCTTTTCAAATTGTTCACTTTCTACTCCCTAAGCTGGTCTCCACTGTAGGATAGCATATGGAGGACATCGCTCTTCCCATTGCCCCCAGTTACACATTCCCTCCAAAATGGTTGGTTACGTGGGTTCGGCCATAAAACAGCCAGCAGCAGAAAATGGGGTGCTCAGGTACAATAAAGTCTCCCCAGCTTTCTGAAGCCCTGTATGCAATCAGATGCAGGAGGAGTGAAAAGGTATGGAGACAAGGTATGCAGCAGTGAAAATGCAACTCTGCATAATGATGCATCCACTCTATTTATCTGTCTCTCTATTATTTACATATCTCTGCAATTTCTCTCCCATGAGGAATACATCATTAAGTAGAGCTACTCCTCCTTCTTGGCCAACAAAAGACTCTTTGATGGGAAGGGGAGGGTTCAGTCCTCTGTGAACACATGGACATTTTACTGAACAGCCTAAGCACTTGATTATGAAGGAGTCAGAAACTAGCAACCAGTGTCTTCATTTTGCTAGATGGATAGAGGAGCATGCACACAGCTTTCATTGGCCATCTGACAGTCGATTGCTCTTCCTGCCCATTCACTTTCTGAAGAGACTGAATCTGCATCACACTGGTGGTCCCTACTGGCTACTGCCTTCTTGAGACTCTTTTCAGCAACTTTACCACTGCCCTGACATATTTTAGAATAATGGAAAATTATCGCTGATTCCCAGTGCAGTGCTAGAAAACTGTGGTATGTGTTGGGGAGGGTCCCTTTTTTTTCTTTTTTTTTTCCTTTGTACAGAGTGTATCAGATAACAGTGCTTTCACCTTGCCCTTGGACAGAATAAGATTATGTAAATATTTAGCGCTGAAAAATAAACGGCAATGTCAAATTAACAAATTGTTGTACTACAGTGGCACTGGAAGAAGCCCAAGTTCCATCTATCCATCTGCAGCAGGGAAAACAGACTTTCAGGGCTATCTGGGCAACAGCACAGGGAACCCACAGTGTTAAACATACAATACAGGTTGATGTCTCAGCAAGACACCTTGATACCAGCGTTGTTTTTCCAACAGTCTTTTGTCTTCACTCTCTGCTTTGGTGGCTCTAGTTTGAGAATTACAAAAAGAGCAGGGTGGAGGAAAGAGGGAATAATCCAAGTGTCAGGGAGTCTTAACCATGCTTAAACAAACAAACAAAAAACAGAACAGAAAAAAAAACTTCAAAGCAAAAACAGGTTACTAGACCTTGAACCACAGCTGTTACCAGAACTATTACAAGCCTGTCAAGTAGCAATTAGACTACTTTGCAAGAGTATTAAAAGAACATCTTCACTTCTGAGAAGGATCTGAAAAGGGGAAATCAGAGAAAACTTCTAGCTTATGGAGTACTCTCTACTGCACTTCAGTTACCTATTTCCTGTTTATTTCCCACTTGAAAAATCACATCCCAGAAACATAATGTAATTTTAAAAAAATTTGCATTTATGACCATTCCATTTAAAATGTTTTCTTGAGGGAAAAAAAAAGGGACAAAAAAAAAAAACAACAAATGGAATGCTGTAAACAGATTTAAGTCAGCCACAAAAAACACTCTGACAGATGTTAGCATCTGTGAACATGGATCTTTCATGACAGTCCTTTCCAATCTGGGCTCTTTTCAAATTAAAAAAAAAGAAAAAAAAAAAAAAAAGTGGAAGCCTTAAGTGTGCTTTACAAAATTTCAGCTAAGTTTTCCATCCCAGAAGGGTGGCTTTCCAATATGGTCTCCCTCCTTGAAATGCTAGTTGCAGCACTTGATGCTCAACTTTTAGTTGTGCATGCTGCCAGACAGGTTAACGCACTGCCTACACTTGTGTTATGATAAACAGCGAAGATCATTAGATGAACAGAGGAAAAAGGAAATCCAACTTTGAAACGAGTTAGTTTTACAGTATTACACTTTGCCAATAAGGCAGTTTTAAACAGAATTACATAGGAACAGACTACATAGGAACTTGCAACAACTTGCTAGAGCATATAATGAATCCCAGCAACTGACTGCAATGTTTCCACTCAAAAAGAGAAATGTTACTTTCCCCACACTTCTGTTTCTTTCAGCCACTCAAACAAATGCTTGGCTCTTCTACATATTTTGCTCCCCAAGGGTCCTGCTTGCACAGTAGCTGGCCTTTCTGTTTCTCTGAGATCCGGCAAATTGAAAACAAAATATAGAGTAAAACTGAAAGAATTATTGATGGGTAGTGGATAGAGGCTGTTTACATTATTTTTTAAACTAAATGCATTGTCTTTCTTTTGTTCTTGGAATAGAAACTCATTGTAGGCTAGGGTGCTACCATTCAGGTGGGAAGTAGGTCAAGACATATGCCAAGAGAAGCGAGTGGAAAATGTCTTTACTCACCCACAAAGACTTTAAAATCTGGATTCACAGCTATAGCTAGCATTGTTTTATTTTAGAAGCGCTTAGCTTTTCCTTCTCACTAGACAACACCCTTTTCTGTCCAGCTTCCTAACCCAAACCTTGTGAGTGCTCTGACCAGTCTGACTGCCTCCTAGTCCTAAAAATGCATCTATTTTAGCTTCACCAACTATCACACAATGATCCCTGTCCTTTAAGGAATAAAACTGACCAGCTCTATTTTTTACTGAACTCACGTGGCCCACTCAAAACAAAC